CTCTTTGTTTCTGTCATATTGATATATATATATATATATATATATATATATATATATATATATATATATATATATATATATGGCATAACGTTATATTGTATCTGTTATTGAACTCACTAAGCGTCACCCGCTTATCCCTCTCAGTGTTTAACTATTGCAGGTGATAAGCATCCAATATAGTTATATACTGTAAGAAGATGTAGAATAGTTAATATTATCACTTTTGTACTTAGTGTATAAATTCCTGGGAAGTTATGTAATATATAAAACTTTGTAAAAATTCTTAATAGTCGGTTTGTATCCAGTCTTTTATAATAAGACCACTAATGTAAATTATAAATATGCATGTAGCATGTTTTTGACGTTATGATATTGTTAAGTATGAAAGGGGTCTTTCAGCAAATGAGCCATAAGTTCTTTAAATAAGGTTCAAACCCCTGAAAATTAGGGTTTCCCTTTACAGTGCCTACTCGTCGAGTCGGGGCCTTCCGACTCTTCGAGTAGATTCGGAGTCCCGCGTCCTCATAAATGATCTTTACTCGACGAGTTGGAGCTCCCCAACTCGTCGAGTCCTAGCACAAAACCCTAAAAATTTAGAAAATTAAATAATACCTGTAACAGGTGTTACACTGTGTTTATATTAGGAGTCTTTGCCTTTTGAGTTTGACTAATCTTGTGTCGGTCCTGATGAGATAAGTGTCATTGTCATCAGGCCCGACAATTTGTTTTTTACTGAAGATTTTAAATATGTATAACTAATATTACAACTAAATGGAATACAATGAAAACTAGGACCTTATATAATTACTCAAAAGAACTTAAATATACGATATAAAAATTTTGTAATAAGATATAATGCAATTTACTTATTATTTTTGTTCTTTAAACAAAAAGCATAACCCTAAAATTTTGGTTTCTACTATAAAGTTTTGGTTCTTTTGGCGTTTCAACAATCCTATATTACCTTAATTAGGATGGAGGGTATGTACGCTTACTTTCCCACATTTTTTTTTTGCCTCCATCGACCTTATGCTATTTTTCTCTCACTTCTTACTACATCTCATTTTCTTTTCATGTTTTTTTTAATTAATTATAATAAAATGTAATTTAATGATTATATAATTTTTTTTAAATGGCTGCATATATTATAAAAACACACTCTATCGAAATGCTAGAGAGCAACAAAAAAAATACATTTACAGGTGACAAACCACCCAAACTTTCCAATTAAAATCAGAATTGGAAGCTCGATTATTAAACCAAGAAAAAGAATGAAGAATAATAGAATCAAAAATGGATTTTTTGTGTATTTGAGTTGTATCTCCTTCAAAAACTTGCCAGTTACTATATCTCCAAATCATCCATGTGGTAGTAGCCACAATAACCTTCAATTTAACCTTTGTCATTGCCGACATTCGTTGATCATCCACCCAAAAAAGTCATTCCCTAATAAAAGCTACATTAGGAATAGTGATTCCACACTATCTCTCCACCAAACCCCAAACAACCATAGCCACCTGACATTTAAAAAACAAATATTTAAAATAATAAAAGCAGAGTATTTTATTAATTTAACTAAAAACCATTAAAATGACAATTCAATTAAAATAAATACAAAATAAGTCTACTCCATTTTTTTCTTCATAATTTTGTCTCTTAGTTATGATATTTATTGTGGTTAGTTTAAACAAAAAATGAAAAATGGTCATAATATAGTGGTTCGAGATGGATCCGTTGGACAGAAAAAGAACAACATGCGGTGTATCTTTGTCACACGACACTGTTCACTGCACCACCGCAAACCAGAGCGGTGTGGTGTTCACCAGACCACCGTTATGACACCTCATTCCACCGTGGTGCGCTGTTAGCCCATTTCAACCAACCTTATTGCATGGTAAAATGAATTACATCAAATTAGATATTACACGACAATATAAACATTGTTTACGATTTGTGGTGCTGGCCCTCGACTCCACCCACTGATCGATCAACGGGTGGGGGGGGGGGGGAGGCACCACATGGGGACGTGCCCCCTTGACTCCACTACTCGATTTGTTCGGAAATAAACTCTTTTTATGCAAGTTGTATTAGATCATAGTTTAAATCTCTTTTAACACCCATATAAATTTCAATTAGATGATCTAGTTGCATTCATTAAGCAAAATGAATTTATATGCATAATCAACTAAATCAGTCAATCATGGTTATCAATCGGTAATTTGCAACGACAGTGATAATCACATTAATCATGATTGTTATTTGGTTTCTTAAACTAATAATTATTTAATAAAAAATAACAAGGGAAAATTACTAATCTAGCCATAATTGTTAATGACTTATCAAAAAATAGCCAAAAAATGAGTTTTAGCCAAAAATATCCCACCAAATAGTAGTCAACATACAGTTGACTGCGGTCAACGTGCGTTGACTACTCTTTTTCTTGAAATCTACTATTTCGTGGTAATGGACTACTGTTTTCACGGCCCGTTTACTTTTTCGTGGCCCATTAGCCCAAAATATATATAATGATTAATTTTTCAGATTAGGTCATTTTTTACTATTGTTTTTTTGGTTTGCCTACTTTTTTCTCTCAATGGAGCACCCGAAAACAACCAGGTTTGTCTACTTTTCATCAAAATTTTACCGTGTTCGTGATTAGAAGTAGGTTTTGTATATGGGGTTAAGTTTTTATTTGAAAAAAATCGAAAAAAAAAATAAAACCGTACGGTGTACAAGTGCCCAATGCACAGTTTGTGCAGTGTCGACTTGTATACCTACGGTTTCGTCGAACAGAAAGTATTTTTTTTTTTCTTTTTTTTTTAAATTTGATCCAACATGAGCGGAATTTGATATATAGTATAAGTTCATGATTTTTTTTTTTAAACTCAAAAAAAAAAAAAAAATAACGAAACCGTAGGTTTTTTTGAAACCTACGGTGTACAAGCAATTAATGCATAGTTTGTGCAGTAAAAGGTTGTACACCGTAAACCGTATTTTTTTTCCCAAAACCGTAGGCTACGGTTTGGGAAACCGTAGCAAAACCGAGAGGAAACCGTAAGTTTTAAAAAACCTACGGTTTTGTATCTTAGAAATGATTTCTTTTTTATACAAAACACGAAACAGTAAACAAATTGGCGAAACAGTAGACGAATATAGAAACATACGGTTTCATTGGCTATATTTGGATATTTACTAATTTTTGTCTAAAAATTGCTAATCACTTCCTTAATTTGGCTAGATTAGTAATTGCCCCAAATAACAATTGTTAGTTGAAAATGACATAATATTAGTATTTATGACATGAAATAATTAATAATAATAAATTAAAAACATAAATCATTAATTGAAAATGACAAAATTACAAAAATGGTCCCTGTGCTTGTCAAAAATCTGTGATTTTGGTCCAAAAAAGTTTGGTGGTGCATCAGTGGTCCAATTTCGGATACCTTGTGTGCTTTTGGTCCCTATGGTTCACATTATCTTGTGGTTTTGGTCCATACCCTACCTGAAATGACGAATATGCCCTTAAAATTATTCTTTTTTAATTTTTTTTAACTATTTTATTATTATTCTAATTAAAAATAAATAAAAACAAAAACCCTACCCACCCACCCCTCTTATCCCTTCCCCTCTACCTTTATCTACTGTAAAAAATAAACCACAGTGCATTCCAAGACCAAAGAATCTTCCGACAACCAGAAATCGTCCCCCTCAAGATCCACCACCGTCGGACCCATTTTTAGGCACTATCACCTGTTATACCATCGTCATTTTCAAACCACCACCATCGAACCCTTTTGGGTTCTTCCCTTAATCTTCTCCAGCACTTGTACCAGTAGAAGAATGAGACAAAGAGGTGGAGAAAACCTTAGGCTTTCCTTTCATCGATGGAGATATCTGCTTGTCAGAATCCAAATGTGTACCATTCTCAGTCCAGATCGAAGACCCTAATCATTGAAAGGTAGTGGTGGCGACTGAAAACCCTAATCGTTGGGTGTAGGGTTTAATTTCTGGGTTTGAGCACCCTTTGCATTGATTTGGGCACCGAGTATGATTCATTGGCACTTGGTTTAGATCTGGGCAATAAAGGGAGCTACTGATGGTGGCGGACGGTGGTAGCAGCCGGTGGTGGTAATCGATGGGTGGTCATTGTCGTCCATTGGAAGCCAGGTTTCAGTGAGTGGTCATAAGATATAAGAGAATGAGAACCAGAGAACAGTGGAGGGGATACGATCATGCTTGTTCATCAACTCCGATTTGGGTGGCAGATATGAATGAAGGATTTTGTTGAACCAAGAACATAACACACACAGACATACATACATTTTTTTTCTTGATTCAAATCTTATTTTAGCTCTGATTCTGGTGACCCAATCGAGTGAATCGATTTTTGCTCTGATTTCAGCTTCAATTTGATTCGGTGAAAATCATCTACTTCTTTGATTTCATTAACCCTTAAACCTTGAAATAAACTACATAGATGAAATTGACTTTACAGAAATCAATTTGATTCGGTGCCTCCAGATCTTCACTTTGTCGATTTTTCTTTTTGCTTGGTTTTGATTTAACCCCTTTTTTTGTCTGATCGGTGGTCATTTTGGACGATGACGGTATGGTGGTTGATTGTAATCCTGATGGTATATGGCAGTGGTGGTGGTGGTTGTGAGTGTAGGATGAATGATGATATTTTAAAGTAAATTATATTTTTCTTTTTTCTTTTTTTTTATAATATAATGAATAATAAATTAATTAAAAGAAAAGGAAAAAGAAAATCAGGAGGGTATAATAGTCTTTTCAAGCAAATAGGGACCAAAATCACAAAAAAATCCAAAATTGAACCATTGATGCTCAGCTAAAACTTTTTGCACCAAAAACATATAATTTTGACAGGGGACATTTTTTCAATTTTGTCTATTAAAATTAAGAAATACAAAATTGGACTATAACCCACACCACTTATTACCTGCGGAAATGATCTGGGGTTGGTAGAGCGCGAAACAATGGTGGGACCAAGAAGGCCACAGTTCGTGTTATTTGGTTCGTCAATCGTTCAAGTAGCTTTGGTAAGCAAGGTTGGGGTGCGATTCTCGCAGACATTTACGCTGGAAAGGTTGGATTTCACTTTTATTTATGTTCTTATTTGGATCCATTCGATAGTGAGTTCGAGTTTCAGTATGCTACTGAATGCATCGTTTTGATCATTGATAAATCCATAAGTATCTCTACACTTGTAGATTTCTCAATTAACGATATATCACTTATCCAGAAGTTTAAATACTCACGAGGAATCGATTAATGGTTGGTAGGTTGAATAAGGGATTGCAATCTCACACTTCTGTATCAATTTATAACTACGAACAAGTTGCTCTTTAAGGGTTTGTTATAGTCATTATTAAAAGCAAACTACAAATTTTCTATGAATCTCAAATCTCAATTGCAGAGACTCTTTATGAGGAATGTAATGTATTCGATTATTCTATATGTATCATGTATTTGTTGATTTCTGTACACAAATATCTTTTCGCTTTGCAAATGTTACACTGCGAGGATATGCTGGATGGAACTCCAGGAAAGCTGTAGAAGTTTTGGATCAAATTTTTCGAAAGGTAATTTTGTTAGTTTAATTGCCACTTTGAAAACCAAATTCATACAGTTTCCCAATTTTTTTTGAGTATCCTCTCTTAGTTCTGGGCTAAATGGAAGAAATAACAATGCACTTTCATTTATTTCCTTATTTTAGCATCCTAATTTTTTATTTTCTTTATTACAGCATTGTATTTACACTTTCTTTATTTTTATAAAGACACTTTACTTTGAAAAATCTACCCAATTATAGCATTCTAATTTCAATTCTTATTAGGTCTAATAAACAAATACCTGAAAGTATGTTGCTATTTCTTGTATTTAGGATGAAGCAATACAACCATCTTTGGTGATAGTTTATTTTGGAGGTAATGATTCAGTCCTTCCTCATCCAAATGGCTTAAGTTCTCATGTACCACTTGATGAGTTGAAAACATGAGAAATATTGCTATCCATCTCAAGGTAAATTTTTACCATAGATAATATTTTATGTGATTAATACACAATGTACTTTCACCACTTTTCATTTAAATACCTCTTGTGTAAAAATGTTTTGTTATGTTACATTACCAGAGCCTTTCAGAGAAGACACGCATAATATTTCTTATTGCTCCTCCTGTGAATGAGGCTCAAATTCTACAAGTTTTGGGGTGATTATTACTAACCCAACTTTTTTTTTCTTCATATAATATGAATATTTCTTCTAATTGTTAATTCTCATTGACATTTGCAACTTTTTTTTAAACCAGTGTTGAGGATCGAAAAAATGAACAATGCAAAAAATACGCAGATGCTTGTGTAAAATTAAGCCATGAGATGAAGATTAAAGCTATTGATCTTTGTACTGCATTTAAGCAACAAGATGATTGGTTGACAACTTGCTTTACGTAAGTATTTGCTTTAATTTCTAATTAAGTAAAAAATAATCTATATGGGTAAAAAAGTTAAATACGACATGTAATTTGCCCTTTTATAGTGATAAAAAATTGCCCACACAAACCTTTTGTAAAATTTGTCAAAGTAACATCAGTCTCGGTCAGTCTGAGTCCAATGCAAGGCAAACACAGTACGACTTGTTTTATGTTGCAGCGCATATTATATACGTACGGTTGATGGTGGGTTTGATTGTGTTGATAAATTACAGAGATGGGATACATTTATCTCCGGATGGGAGCAAGATTGTGGCAAAAGAGATTTTGAAAGTTATTATGGAAGCTGACTGGAAACCGAGTTTGGATTGGGAGTCTTTGCCTGTGGAATTTGCATAATCCTGTCGGTTCTGATGGCAGATAATCTGCCATCACGACCGACAGACAGTATGTTTGATGAAGTTTGAGGTTGTATGAGAAAAAGGGTTTGTATATTGTTGTTGGGTTATCTTGTTTTATTCCTTGGTATGACGATTTATTGAAGTTAAAAATCTCAAAAAAAAATCATAAAGAAGATATTAACCTAGAAAACTACATAATTAAAGCTATTTTTTTATGTCGAGATGTATACGTTTTGTTAATTATATACATTGCATTAACATTAATTATGTATATATTTTTGTAATTAAAACAACAGTAATTACAATTATTTTTATAGAATCTTACATGATGTCATATCATCAAAAATTGTCCAACCAGGAAAAAAAAGTGAAATTAATAACTTACATAAAATTATGGAAAAATTAAAAAGAAAACATTATTACCGTGATACCTAAAAGAAAAAAAAACATACAAATTTAAAAGTTTTGTTGCAAGTTTCACTTAAAAAACGTGAAGAGTGTTGATAATAGATAAAGAAAGATTAAACTAAGAGGTTAACAGAAAATTTGGTGGTAAAAAAGTAAAATTGTAAAAGTTGCAAAGTTTTATTAAAGATACCCCAAGCACACTTGTTTACTTGCGGAAATGATCTGGGGTTAGTAGAGGTTAGTAGAGCTCGTAACAATGGTCGGGCCAAGAAGGCCACAGTTCGTGTTGTTCGGCTCTTCAGTCGTTCAATTTAGCTTCGGCGAGGAAGGTTGGGGTGCGATTCTTGCAGATATTTACGCTCGAAAGGTTAGATTTCCATCTGATTTACGTTCTTGTTTGGATTCATTCGATTCTGATTTCAACTCTTCGTATGATACTGAATGCATTTGATTTGACCACAATAAGTATCAGTACACTTGTCAATTTCTCAATAAACGTAGAATCGTTTATCCAGAAGTTAATTTTGACAAAGAATCGATTAATTGTTGGTAGGTGGGAAAAGGGATTATAATTACACGCTGCTGTTTCAATGTAGAACAATTAACACGTTGCTCTATAGGGTTTGGGGAATTTTAGAATACTAGTGTATTTGGTTGATTTCTTCAATACTAGTTCCTAAATTAATTTTTCATTAGGCATTCGATGTAACTGGTCATTAATTTTGTATAGGCAGACATAGTTTTGCGAGGATATTCTGGTTGGAACTCCAGACAAGCTGTAGAAGTTCTTGATCAAGTTTTTCCAAAGGTAATTTCTTCAGTTTAATTACCACCTTCAAAAACCAAATTCATGTAATTCCCCAATTTATCTTCCTATTTACCTACTTTAGGATGAAGCTATACAACCATCTTTGGTAATAGTTTATTTTGGAGGCAATGATTCAGTCCTTCCTACTCAAGATGGCCTAAGTTCTCATGTACCACTTGATGAATATGTTGAAAACATGAGAAAGATTGCTATCCATCTCAAGGTAAATTTTACCACAACATTTGTTGGTTTTTACTTTTTAGTTAAAATTGTTTATATGGAAATGTGATTTTAAATTTGTATTACAACCCACCCGTTTTTACCAGAGCCTTTCAGAGAAGACACGCATCATATTTCTTACTGCTCCTCCTGTGAATGAGTCTCAAATTCTACAATTTTTCGGGTGATTATTACTAACTGAAGTTTTTTCTTTTTCTTTTTTCATATAATATTAATATTCCTTGTAATTGTTAATTCTCATTGACATTTACAACTTTTTTTTATGCAACCAGTACTAAAGGTCGCAAAAATGAACTATGCAAAAAGTATGCAGATGCTTGTGTAAAATTATGCAAAGAGATGAATATAAAGTATATTAATCTTTGTACCACACTTAAGCAGCGAGATGATTGGTTAACAACTTGCTTTACGTAAGTATCCTTCCATGGACTTGCACACACTCGATAATGATTTACTATTGATGTCCAATGCATGCCAAACACAAACACAGTACAACATGTTTTATGTTGTACTATTGTGTAATAAATATAAATATTTAATAAATATAAATATTTGATGGTCGTTTAATTTTAATTGTGTTGGTATTATAATAACAGAGATGGGATACATTTAACACCGATTGGTAGTAAGATTGTAGCAAAAGAGATTTTGAAAGTTATTATGGAAGCTGAGTGGAAACCGAGTTTGGATTGGGAGTCTTTGCCCGTGGAGTTTGCTTAATCATGTTGTATGTATGCTACTTTAAAACCGAATTGATCTTTTTGACTTGATGAACTTAATGGGTTAAGCAAATTAAACTTGATAGCTATGTATGGTTGTTTCTTTTTGACTTAATCTAGAGATAAGGACTCAATAGGTTAGACCAAAAAAACTTGGATTCATGTATTAAGACATCAACCATTTACCAATTTGTCCTTTTTTTTAAACCAACTTGTTAAAATTGGTGTATATTTTGAATTTTTTTTTCGAACTGAAGGGTAAAATTGTCATTTAGTCTCGTTTAGATGGTTTATTCGGTGCATAAAAGATCATAAAAGAACATAAAAGAACCAGACCTTATGAGACTTTCAGGCCTTATGAGACTTTCAGGGTGGTCCAAGCCGATAAGAGGCCCGGGGCAAAAGAGAAAAATGACCCTTCAAATTACAATAAATTAAAGTCAAATTACCAAAATTCATATACAACAAGAGAGATGAAAAATTTACAAGTGGGCTTCATTAAGCTTTGAAAGAATATACTTGTTCCAACTTTAGTATTTTTATTTAATAACTCAACGGATGTTGGTATAAAGATGAAATGCACAAAATTTTAAAAAAAATATTGGTATGTGTTTTTCTATATGCAAATAACTTATGATATTATCGACTCAAGATCAACATTATCCAACATATTTTTCTCAAAACTTAAAATAGTTAAATTATTTAATATAAATTAATGATAATAGTTTATTAGATATTCAAATGATACAAAATAAATGAAATCAGTTGATGGTTGATGTGAGGTGGATGTTGATATTGTTCAGTTTTAGTTTCCCTCCTTAAACCCTCCTCCCCGAGCATTTTAAGAGAAAAAATCTTGTAATCCGTTTTTTTTACTTTTCAAACTTCATATAAGAATACAAAATAATATCGTTATGATATTAATCAAAGCCATACAAATTAACATCACATTATAGTAATATTAACCAAGGCCTGAGCCTCCCTAATCAAATCTAGAAGTGGGGAGTCGATGATCATCCTCAAACAGTGTCCTCGAGAAGGAGTACAAACCGCCTTGCGGCTCAAAGCATCGGCGACCACATTGACCTTCCATTGGTAATAAAGAATCTCGCAGTCATAATCCTTGACCACATTAAGCCATCTACGCTACCGCATGTTTAGATTCGGCTGATCCATGAGGTATCTCAGACTCTTATGATCTGTGTAAATGGTACATAAGACCCCATATAGATAATGTTGTCAAATCTTAAGGGAAAACACTACCGCCCCCAGCTCCAGATCATGCTTTGGGTACCGTACCTCATGTGGTTTCAGTTGTCTAGAAGCATACACAATAACCCTCCCTCGCTTCATGAGTACTAACCCCAAACCGGTGATAGAAGCATCACAACATACAACAAAATCCTCCACGCCCTCCAGAAGGGTCAACACCGAGGCCTACCATAACTTCTGTCTCAAGGTCTTGAATGCAGCTTGCTGCTCAGGCCCCCAACGAAAATCCATGTCGTTCCTCGTTAAACGAGTGTGAGGTACAACAACCCTGGCAAAATCATGAATAAACCTCCGATAATAACCTGCCAAACCCAGAAAACTCATAATCTCCGAGGGAGACTTCGGGACCTCCCACTACATAACTGTCTCTATCTTGGTCGGGTTGACCAGAATCCCGTCCTGGTTAACGAGGTGTCCCAAGAACTGGACCTCCCGTAACCAAAACTCATGCTTCGAGAACTTGGCATAAAGCCTCTCCCTCCTTAGAACTCCTAGCAACTCTCAAAGATGCTCATCATGCTGCTCCTTGGTCTTGGAATAGACCATCATATCATCAATAAAAATAATGACCGAACGATCGAGCATCGGCATGCATACCCGATTCATCAAATCCATTAAGGCCGCCGGTGCGTTGGTGAGCCCAAACGACATCACCACGAAATCGTATTGACCATAACGAGTTCGGAACACTGTCTTCTCCACATCCTCCTCTCTGACTCTCATCTGATGATACCTTGACCTCAGATTGATCTTAGAGAACCAAGATACACCATGCAACGTATCGAAGAGATCATCAATCCATGGTAGTGGGTAGCGGTTCTTTACCATCAACTTGTTCAACTCCCGATAATCAATGCATATCCGGTGTGAACCATCCTTCTTCTTTACGAAAAAAAATCGGTGCTCCCCATGGCGAACTGCTTGGTCGGATAAACTACTTGCCCAATAACTCTTGGAGCTGAGAGGACAACTCCTGCATATCAGATGATGCTAAACGGTACGACGCCATAACAATCGGGGTCGCACCAGGAACCAAATTAATCATGAAATCAACCTGTCTCACAAGAGGCACACCGAGTAAATCCTCCGGGAATACATCTGGAAACTCTCCGACTGCAGGCACATCCGAAACTGAAACTCTCCCTTCGATCCAAGTGTCAATCACGTAGGCGAGATAACCCAAACATCCATGTTGAAGATACTGTCGAGCCCTGGCAGCTGAACAAAAAGCCGAACCAACCCTGGTACCCTCGCCATAAATAATCAGTTCTCCCCCACTTAGGGTTCGAGCTACCACCCGTTCTCCCTCACAATCAATCAAGACACAAAAATATGCTCAACCAGTCCATCCCTATTGTCAAGCACACATCCCCGATAAGGATGGGAATCAAATCGATCGGGTAAGACATCCCGAATATTTCCAAGGTACAATCCCGAAAAAACGCTCAATGCAGAAACCCCGTGCTCGTTGGCGATGGAAACTTTCAATGGACACTCTAACTCTCCGAGAGTCATATCGAAACTCCTACTGAAGGACTGACACATAAAAGACTGACTCGCACCCGAGTCAAAAATCAGAAGAGCAGGCAAGGAATTCACTAAGAAGGTACCTAGCAGAAATAAAAGAATAAGCATATAATAAAATAACTTGTCAGGATAACAAATGAGCACATAACAGTAACGACGACAGGCGCTATCTTGGCCTCTTCTGCTGTGAGTTGGAAAGCACGAACCCTGGCCTTCGGGGACTCAACTCTCCCCTTTCGGCCATCCGTAATCCTCAAAGTAGTCGGGGCTGGTGCCTACATGGGCCTAGCAACAAGAAAATGACACCAGGCCTTCACATGGACCACCTTATCACAATGATAACAAATCTTGGCACTCAATGGCGGAGCCTGCTGACGAAAATATCTCGTAAAATGCCCCTCCTTGCCATATTTATAGCACCAACTAGCTAATCAACATGCGCCCTCACGCGCCTTCCCGTACTTGCCACAAGTGCGGCCCCTCTAACCTTTTGATTGTGAATCAGTGGGCTTGAACCTCTTTGTTGCATGTTGTCATTGAAATGGACCCTTCCTCTGCTCCTTCGTCTGGGTCTCGATCTCAATCTCCCGCCTCCGCGTGGCAACCTGAAGCTTAGAGAGGGTACGATATCACTTGGTAGACACAAACTCCTAGATCCCAGTCTTGAGCATGCTCAAGTATCGCGACATCTGAGCCTGTTCCAAAGCAATATACTCAAGGCAGAAAAGAACTCTCTCAATAAACAACTTGGTGATCTCCATTATCGACTCTGTCGTCTGCCTCACCGACTTTATTTCAATGTACATTTTCAAATGTTCAAAATCTTGTTTTCATTTCTTATGTGTGATATAAATGAAATTTACTAATCCCAAATCATTTCTTCCTGATAGATCCAGCTCTTTAATTTTCTTATGAAATGAGATTTCTGTCTGAACATTTACTTTGATCTTTAGTCACTTAAAATTTTCTAATGCTTACTTGTTGTTGATTACACTGATCACACACGTATTTTCTTACAATGTTTCGCTCTTATGTTAAGTTGGGAACTTGTTTGAAAATTAAGCCTACTTACGAAGCTTGTTAAAAAAGGCCCTTCGATACTTCTCTATAATTATTCGACTGTAATTAACTGAAGACCACACAAGCATTTAGATTTCTCTCTTGATATCGAAGGAAAAGTTTCTTTGCTCGAGATCTTACTACCTTTATAGCAAAGTATGTCTTATGATTTCATCTTTTTGTTCCCATAAGTGAATGAGGCCCAACCTTAACTGTCGAAGTCTGGTCTGTTGAAAATGTCGAAGCTTGGTCACTGTTTGATTCTATTGGTAATGACGAAGTAACCGTTGGGATGTGAAGTTCTAGTTGCTTTATCGTGGATCAAGAAAATGCTCATTACATGTACACATGGCGTACGGGGGTGATGTCATTTCAGTTGCATAATTTACACATGGAAATGGTTCATTGCATCTTGATTTGAATTTGAATTTGTCGCCGGTTATAAAAAGACGACTTGGCGATACAATTTAATCTTTCTAATTCCCGACATTTATGCAAGAACCCTAATCCCACTTTCTGATCAAAATCAAAATTCTCTCTCTATCATCATGTCTACTGCCAATACTGCTGTTGATTACTTCAACAAAACTGAAGACGAAGTTTTTGAGCCCAACATGATGATTGAATCCAACAATGTCCGATTTAATCCGCCGATTGAAGATTATCCTGAAGAGTTAAAGATGTTGGTTCAGTGTATGAATGATTCAATTCTCACACATGCTTTGACTGCTTCTTTTGACATTCCATTGAAGTGGTTATGACTCGCTGGTTCTACTACTATCTACAAAAAGACGACGAAAATCATAACATTCCAGATGGAATCGAAAGGCAACAAGACGCAGGTTGCCCAAATTCTTCAATTACCATCAGAAGGATCGTTTAAGTGTTGGGTTATGAGCATAACATCAATCCTATGGTGTTCATGCAACCCTAATTGCTTTGATCTAGTTTTTTCTAATTTGAACATACAACATTGAATACCAAAGCAATTAGGGTTGCATGAACATTGAATACCAAAGCAATAAACCCTAATCTAGCATGTTTATTTCAAAATAGACATAATAAACAAGTTAGAATGATTACCTCAACTTGTTATGTAGTAACAACAAGAACTCCTTGAACTTTGAAAGCTTAGTGCCTCAAATGTTGCACCTCTAATGTAATCACAAACACCCAATGCAACAAGATAACTTAGGAGAGAAGAGGAAATCGGTTAGGGCAACTCCAAGAAGCATAAGGCCGATTTCCATATACTAAGGGGTCTATTTATAGTTGAGGCTATTAGGGTTTTATGGTGGAAACCCTAATTTCCTTGCTTAGGGCTTAAGCAATCCATGTAGCCCATATAGAAAGCCCTTGGACGAAATCTTCTTGGACTCTCCATAAATTTCGTCCAATCCCTTTCTATTAGGAATCCATAGCCCAACTAGCAACTATCAGATAATTGCAATATCAGTCCCCTTTATTTAATCAGTCTCTTTTGATCACCAAATTAATTCCAAATTAATTTCCGATCAATACTAATTAAATAATATGCTTTCCAAATAATATATTAATCTTGTAATATATTAATAAAACCATTTTGAGTATGAATTTATTATTCATATAATAAATTCTACTCTCTCTCCTATTGTCATCCTATCAAGTTGCATGAGTGAAGGCAACCTAAAAGGACCATGCTCATAATCGGGTCAAGTACATACCAAAATAGTTATGGGCTTAGATACCTAATCCAACATAAACTTCCTATGAATGAACATGTACTTCAAATGTTTAATTAGATGGTTTCTCAACCTCCGATTTCTCTTGTTAGTGATTTTAAGAAGTCAAATCTTCCAAGCATATGGAGTTTTTTCTTTAGAATTACCCTTCGTTTTTTAACTAGAAGGTGTTTTGGTCTTGACAAAGAAAAAATTCAATTCCATTCCGTTATGGCTGGTATTTATTACCGGATGAAAGTTAAATATGCTTCGTTATTGTGGGATGAGTTTGCTTTATCTATTAAGCACTCAAAGAAGACTACTGAGATATCTAGTGTTCGATTTTGGAGTCTTATTTACATGAAGCTTACAGTAAACAGGTATTCAAGTTCCTAATGATGCTGGGGTTTCTCAATTATCACATGTTCGTATTCCTAAGTCTGCACTTGATGAACTAGTTGTTTTTCCTGTTGTGGGAAGGATTCCTGATGCTATGTTCAACTTGGTGTCTGAATCGAATTTGTTATTGATTCAATACAAAGCTTCCATGGATTCTACTTCTTCTGGTCCTATCCCAATGAAGGTGACATTTAAGGCCATAGAAGGAACATCTAAAGATTCTCAAGTTGTCAAGAAGAAGTCAACATTAAAGCCAAAAGTTATTGTTAATAAAGATGTTTCTACAAAGACTGTTTCTGAGAAGTGAGTGAAAAGTGGTTCTAGGAAGGCAGCGAAAGATGTTTCTAAGAAGAAAAGTGATTATGAGAAGAAAGTCCCAACTGTTTCTGCGAAGGTTGTAAAAAAAGTTATTAAAGAGGTTTCTATTCCTGAGCATGTTGTTAATAAGTCAAAGAAGTTGAATATGAAGTACAAGTCTTCTGGAGTTGTTATAAAAAAAATTACTAGTTGTTATAAAAGAAATTACTGATGAAGAGGCACAAAAGAAAAGGAAAGAACAATTGTTGGGGTGTTGAAACAATTTAAGAAGATTAGGGCTCTGTCAGTCGAAGAGCCTTCTACTAAAGCTACGTCATCATAAAATACTTTTGAAGCAGATCGCGATAGCGAAAAGACAGAAGATGAAGTTTTTGGAAATAATGATCATATATTCCATGACTCACCAAGAAAGGATGCCATAGTTGAATAAAATATTGAGGAGACACGCAATCCTAGTTTCAGTGTAAACGCATCTAATGTGGATACAAACATCGATTACGGTGAACCAATCATTACTTCAATTCATGAGAAGACTGCCTTCACTCCACCCGAAGGTCCTATTTCCTAGTCCAATATGGAGTAGGGTAGGTATTCAAACATTACTGATAATTTATCTAATATGGACTCAAATGTTACTGTGGGTGAAGAGAATTCAACATCTTCTATCGACACTTCAACTGTTCCACCACCACCAACTTCGACTATTCCACCAAAAACAACTCATAAATGTTTCTCCTATATTCCAAGGTTTCATTAATAAGCCTATCACTTCCTTATTCTCTTCTTTATCAACAAATCAAGAGACGCTGAATAATGAAGATGAAGAAGAAGATGAACTGGTTGAATTTCCCAAGTTAGAGTTTGATCCCGAAGAAGAAAATATTGATGACAATGCAATTATGTCAGACAAGCAATTCAAAATCCTTAACTCCAAACTTAACCTTGTTCTTCATCTTTTAAATGATAATGCTGGGAAGTCCTCTATGAGTGGAGAAGAGGTTGATTTTCTGTTAAAGTCCCAAGAGTCACGAACAATGACTTTGATTAATAATGATTTTACAAGGTTGGAAGAATGTCTTGCTGCTCGATCAAGCTCTTACAAACATGAAGTTAAGGAGTTACAGAATGTTGCTCGTGAGCGACATGAAATTTTTGAGAAGCTTGTGAACTCTTAGAAAGAGTCCATTGAATCAAAGCTGAAGGATTTTGGTGATTTGTTTTCAAAAGAAGTGACAAAGTTGCATAAATTTTGTGTGGGCATTGAGGACGAATTTGATGTTCTTATAAATTCAACTCCAACCTTGATTGAAAATATTAGTGCCGTCAATAAGGAATATGTTGGCGACTTGAAGCTTAAGAAAGAATCTGATGCTAAAGTTTTTACAACAATTGATAATTCGCTTATTGGTTTTCATGAATGATTATCGAAGTTTGATTATCTATCAACAACTTCAATATCTCAAGATGAAATCTATTCTATGGTTTCGTCATTGGAATCATGTTTCAAAACTCAATTTTCTCCGATATTGGATCTGGTTCTTCGATTACCTGCCAATTCTCCATGTTTGTCTACAAATGTATCACAAGGGGGAGATAAGGGGGTGGTTCATCGAAAGATAGTGGAGACGATAAATGAAAAGTAGTTGGGAAGTTGATTTGTACTCAAATTCCAACTTCACTACTAATGAAAGCTATCATGACAACTTCGACAACGACTGCTACATAATATGTCAAAGTACATATGTCAAAGCTACAATCGAAGAAAGGATTGAACATAAACGAAGGAGGTTCATGTTCTTCAATAGTTAAACGTGTTACTAGTTTTGATCCAATAGATAAAGGTAAAAGTGTTAATGTGGAACCTACAACTGAGGAAAAAGAAGAAGCTTCAAGAGCTTGAGTTTGAAAGATTGAAGCAGTTGGACAACATCATGAGGATGAGAGAGGATGACCCACCAGGTCTTAACAATGGAGATCCTAACAAGGTTTGGTGTTATGAAACGATTGAAAGTGCAACTTATGGAAAAGTAGCTGATTTTGATAAAAGGCCAAGAAAGAACTATGTCATTGAAGATATAGATTTCAATCAAGTGGATTTTCCAGTCAATAATTTGATGTTCACTTTTGCTCAGTTCAAGCTTGCTGAGAATTATAATGATCCTGAAGAGTTTAAGAAGTTGAAGACTCGTTTCCACGCGGTTCTAGGAAAGAATGAAGAAGATGTGTGGTCTTTGGTGAAGATTGACAAAGTTATATCGATAACTCCAATACTTTGTTTGAAGGAGTCTTACAAATCTATCGATATAGTATTGTTTGGGAAAACAACGTTTTATTTGACTTCACCATTGCTGACTTTCACTTGATGAATCTGAATGATCTCATCACGAATATGAAGATCTTGGGAGATTTGAGCAAATCTCAAATTCAAGACAAAGCTTTGTACATCATTGGGTATGGCCACATCAAAAGGTTTTTGGACTGTTATTATGCTTATCTAGCATTAATAGATATTCATCTCTCCACTGTCGTCAACAAGAAGTCGAAAGTTCCTAAGGCTTTGTTGAAAGGAAAAAATCAAAATGGATGATTATGAAGATGGAGAAATCATCAATCAACTGTTAGGGTTTTTTTTCCAAGGCAAGAAGAAAAAGGGAGGGAAAAATAAATACTTATTTCATACTGACTTTGTTGAAAGATATTTGAATCAAAATCTTTCAAGTATCCTTCTCCATATCAACAATTGCATGAAGAATTCGAATGAAGATAGAGCGGAGATAAGGAAGATGATCGTGTGCTACATGGAAATTAGAAGGGTTTTGCTACAGGTAATAAAGACACTACCACCAGTCTGAAGATTCAATATTTGATCACAAAGGGGGAGAATGTAGATTCTTATTGGTTGTGATAATATTGAAGCTTAGGTAGTGGTCTTGGTATGAAATGTTTTGTAAATTTCGAAGGTCATCAAGACTTCGATATTGTATGTATTTTACTAGGCACTTTTGTAGGTTCGCTTGTAATATCGAAGTCCTAGTATACATTTTGCATCCATTGCTTACTTTATAATTGAGTAGGTACATAAGTAATATAGAAGCTTTTAGCAATGTTGTGCTTGTACATTCTCTCTTTACTTCTGACTTGTACCAATCTGAATATTGAGCTGAATCAAAGATCTTATTCACATTTTGTATTCATTTAGTACTATGATTTAGATTTACGATTGATTAAACATCTTTTCAATATGGCTACCCGAAAATAGTTCCGATACGGCTACCCGATAACAACCCCGATACAGCTACGCAATACAGCTACATGATAGCAGTCCCAATAGGACAATAACATTGTACCTAATTGTTACTATGCCAAATATCCTACTACAATAAACTATACTATTATAAATTATAGGAATATATATAATAAATATTACTAATGAAACAAACACAGCCACGATGTGGCTACACGAAAA